CGGGGGGCTCGGGGGGGGGGACGCTGCCCCCCCTCAGGTCCTTTCGGGGTTCAGGGACAGGTTTGGGGTCCTGGACTGGGAGCCAGAGTTGAGGTTCAAGGTCTGGAGCCACTTTGGGACCCAGCTCTGGGGCGGGGGTCCAAGGTCAGGGGCTGTTTTGGGGTCCCAGGGCGGGGGTCCCCGACTGGAACCCGGGTTTGGGGTCCAAGTCCGGGTTCCAGGGTTGGGGTCCCGATTTGGGGGTCCCACTTGGCCCCGGGGGGATTTGGCTGCTGTTCCTGGGGCTGCCCCATCCCCCTCCACGGCCCCCCCAGCAGGACAGGGCCGGGGGTCCCAGGGCTGCACCCCCAGAGACCCCCCCCCACCCCCAGTGCGGGGGTCCCAGGCTCGTTCCGAGGGGTGGGGGGCGCTGACCCAGCACAGAGGGGACCCCAAAACACCAGGACGCTTCACTACGTTTATTGGGCCTCTGCAGCTTTAAATACAGGCCAGGCTCTGGGGGGGCCGGGGGGGGGGCAAGGCAGGGCGGGGGGGCTGAGGGTGCCCCTCCCCCCCCAGCACCCCCAGGGCTCGGAGCCGCCCCCCGGCCGCCCCCCCATGGGCCGGGGGGTTTTTGGGGTGCCCCCAGGGCCCCCCGGCCCCTCAGCGGCTGTAGCCGAACTCGTCGGCGTCGTCCGCGCGGAAATCGCCGTAACGCCACAGGTTCAGCTGGGGGGACACGGGGGGGGTCAGGGGGCTCCCCAAAACCGGGGGGGGGGCGGGCAGGGGGCTCCCCCAAATGGGGGGGGGGCTGCACCCGGCACCACCCCGGGGTCGGGGGTGCCACATCCAGCCCCTGGCCCAGGGGTCCCCCCGGATTTGAGGTCCCCCCCGGATTTGGGGTCCCCCCCGACTCACCCGGGCGCTCTTGGCCGCCTCCTGCGCGTTCAGGTACTCGGTGATCTGGGGGGGCAGTCCTGGGGTGACCCCGGGCCCCTCCCCCTGGGACCCCCCCCCATCATTCTGTGGCTCCCAGTGCCCGCAGGGGGGTGACACCCACGGGGGGGTGACAGCCCCAGGGGGGACCCGGGGGGTCTTGGGGGGGTGGGGGGGGGACCCCATCCCCCCAGTGGGGCAGTGGCTGGGCCGGGATCAATCAGCGCTGGTGGGGTGGGGGCACAGGGACCCCCCAGAACCCACCCGACACCCCCAAACCCCCCAGAACCCACCCGACACCCCCGAACCCCCCAGAACCCGACACCCCCAAACCC